GTTTATTAAATAAACTATTGCATCGATAAAGGTAAAAGACGACTTACATATAAATAAGAACTGGTATTCTGGTCTAAATCTTTCCGAATTGGCCCGTTCGGAAAATCCCGAAGGGTGTATAACCTCAATTAAATCGAACTATAACTTATGGGAGATTTGATATTGAAAAAAAAATTAATACCTAAACTTTAACAGCCAATATCTTGATGAATTTTAAGGCTACCTCGATAATTTAGAATTGAAAAGAAACTTTAAATCTTAAAAAGTTTCTACTCAATTTTAAATTATTGAGGTAGCCTTAAAATTTATCAAGATATGAAATGAGTGCTGAGAAAAGGAACGAAAATAACAAAAAAATAAAATAAAATAAAATTTTGTGAAAAGTTAATTTTTATACTAAAAATTCTATAATAAATCATAGTAATGATCAATTTTTAAAGAGCTATCTTGTAAAATTCTATAATTTAACAGCTTTTATACCTTATATACAAATTGTTCCTTAAATTATTTTAAATTGAATTACGGAATTATTAAATTGACAATATCAGCCCAAACCCATATTGGCTAGGTATTACTGGTAATTTTTTTCTACAATCGCAATGTCAATTCTTTGCTTTCTACTTTTGGCTGCCCAATATGAAAACTTTTTAACATAGACCTTTTTTTAAAAAATAATAAAAATAAAAATAAAAATTGGTTTATAACTTATTAGTTTTTGAGTTTGAATCGTCTCATATAGGCATGGGTTGCAGCCCCTAGTTAAAATCATTATTGAATGTTGAATAGTTCATTTAATTTTAAAAACTAGTTGAATATTTTCTTTGCACAGTATATAAACTAATTTTTTTATAATATTCTTGTTCAATTATGTTAATTTAGGTAAAGTTTCATATCAGACATGTATTTAACCTATTTTTAATTAAATTAAAAATTAAAAAAAAATAAAATAATAATCTATATAAAAGAAAGTTCTTGCTCTTTTAGAAATATAAATGTACTGATTTATATCGTTTGAGTTGGTGGCGATAGTTATTAAAATTCATGGGGAAAGATCACTGTGGCGTAGATTGACTAAGAAATGAATTCAAAAAACAGGTTTGGGTAGAATTAACCACTTATATTAATCAGAAATATAGCGATAGTCCCAATTAGATACGTACTACGTAGAATATGATGTGGCTTGATGTTATAGAAGCGATTTTCCTCGTTTGATAACAGATAACAGGATAACGATAAATGATAACGATTGTTCTGTATATGATATTCAATTTGCATCAGTTTTATCCCTTTTATCCCTTTTACGTATACGCATCGAATCCTCCAAAAATATTGTGTATAGTAATATCTTAATATAACGCGCAAGTTATGTCAGTAATGGAAAAGTCTGTTGCCTACAATCCAATCTTTTTTAAACTTATCGATTTTGATACTATCTGCTCAAGAAAAGAATTTTCCCTCCCTTCCGAGATTCTGACCCCAGAAGTGATAGCGGAAAGATCGTCAAGATCGAGCTCCAGATTTTCCGCGCGTCAGTCAAAATTAAATAGGCCATATTCATTTGACCTTGGTGAAGGTCCCTCGACATCAACGTTGACTTCCCACAAAACGATTAAAAGATCTTATACTAATGGTAATAACGAAACCTACCCAACCTCAACGTGGAGATCATTTCAGGGTCGGTCTTATACGACTCGAAAAAGAAAAAATAGTCGTCAATTAGATGATGACGAAATTCGTGCTCTTCCAGGTTTATACTTTTCTTTTCATTGATATAATAATGTTTGACTTTATTTTATTAAAGCTTCAAGTTCACAACCCATTATATTTTTTAGAACAGCCAAATTATGAAAAATATAATGCTCGTGCTTTCAGTGAGAATCCTTTCATGAAACAAACCACTCCATCAACACTTGTTAAAGGAACTTACAAACTAAATGCTGAAAAAATAGAGCGATCGTTTCTGCAAGTCTGTTTTAGGTATGTGTTTGTAATTCCCTTGTAAATTTTAATATTATAAATTATATTATATTAATTTTAAAATTTTAAATATTCAATATTAATCAGTCGGCATGTTAATGCTTTAATTCAAGCTGCCGAATGGCTCGAAAACAATGTATGTGTATTTATTTTTTTTATCTTATTTTATAATTTGTATATGTTTGTTTTGTCAAAAAGTATAATTGAACAAATTCTTTTAGAGCATACCTGTCAACCAAGAAACCGATATCGATAAAGAACAAGACGTTGAAATGACTACTTAATTAATTAATAGATACCAAGATCACTTCTTTAAATGAAAAGGTAATGATTAATCAATTTCTCAATCTTTTTTTGTTGATCTTTAATTTTGTTAAATTGAATTGATTTTTTACTATAATAGTTAGAACAATAGAATAATCTTTTAATTGATACCTTTTTAGCGATATAATAAGATGTAATAATAATTTTTGTTGGCTAGGTAGTGTTAAATAATTATGTAATCCGTGCATACTTATTCTAATTGATTAATGTTAATAATATTTTTAATAACAGAATTAAGAGATAATTAATAAAATGCTTTATATTAATGTTAAATTATTTAAATTTTTGCAAATTTTTGTTTATTTAATATATATATATATTTTTTTTAATAAACAGAATTAAGAAATAAATAAATAAATAACAAATATTTTATAGTTATTAATTTATTTAAATTTTACAAAATTCATATATATAATAAGTAAGTTTATTTGATATATTATAGTTAAAATTTCTATGTTTAGTTCAAGTTAAATCTGAATTTGAATTAAACTTGAATAATAAATTTTATTAATTTTTAAACTTAAATTCAAATATTTAATTTTTAAACTTAAATCAGACTTGAATATAATAATAAATTTAGTTTGAATTTAGATTTTAATATAAAATATTTAAAAAAAGATTTTGTAATCTAAAGTTTAATGAACTTAATTTTTAAAAACTTTTCAAAAAAAAAAAAAAAAAATTGAATTTGATAAATTATAAATTAAATGAATCGAAAAAGAGTTAGTAAGTGTATATGAAAATTTAAAAAAAAAAAAAATCATTAAATTTTATATAGATAACACATTAGTAAAACTTTAGTTATTATCTATTTTAAGTAGTTTACTATATAGGTATTAGACTATCTGATTAGTTTTATATTATACTACTATACTTGTAACCTGTTTATAAGTTATTTATTTAAGGAAAAAAAAAGAAGTCTTAAACTCAAATAATAATAGAAACAAAATAACAGTATAAAATCTACTAAATTAGATAAAAAAAACTTAAGTTTTTGAAATAGTTTATTTTATAAAATAAGTAAAACATATAGAAATAACTAAAAATACATATGACAAAACAAGAGTAGAAATTAAATTTAAAACAAATACATAAAATAAAAAAAATAAAAAATAAGATTTGGTGTTTGTTTTTTATAAATCAGTTACAAGTAAGAATAATTACAAGTACTAACAATTATGAGTTACTTTGTATAAGTAACAAATTTAGCAAGAAGTTACTAAACTTACTAGAAAATATAAACAAAGTATTATTATAGAGACAAGTCAAAAAGTTAGAAGCTGAAACACTATATATTTTCAAAAATACTAATAATAATAACATAAAAAGTATAATAGTTTTCATTGAAAAAAAGAAGATATAATAAATATCTCTAACTTTTTAATATATTAATATAATAACAAGCTAAGATGAACAGATATAAGAGGTTAAAAACTTAAAATAGATAAAGACTAAAAAGATGAAAATTATATAAAACTAGAAATATACTAAAAAAAAATATAAAAAGTCTAAAAAAAAGAAAAAAAATTGAACAAAAATAAGAAAGTAAATATTCTAAGTTCATACAAAATAAAATAGGTAAAAGAAAAGATTTGCAGATAGAAATAGAAAATAATATAGCAAGAGATATATATAGAAGTAATTAGATTATATATAATAGATCTCAAATAGTACTAAGTAATAGTAAAAAAGAAAATTATAAGATAAAAGGAAGAAATAGTTACAGAAAAGAAAATAGAGATAATAGAAAAAAATAAATGAATAAGCAAATTTATTATAAGAATAATTATAGATCTTTAGAATATTTAACTCAATTAGTATAAAATTTAAAAGAAAAACTCAGTAATTTGAGTATAGAAAGTTTAAATCACTTTTAACTTTTGTATTAGTTGAATCAAAAGAAGTCCTTTTAGCAAATAAGGAAAAACTTATATAACAAAGTAGAATAAAACAAAAAAAAATTATATAGAAAGAACTATTAGTTCAAGTAAAAAAAGTATAAAAGCAAAAAAATTAGAAAGAATATTAAAATAGCAATATATAATATTAATAGTTTAAAAGATAATAAATACAAATTTGAAATTCTATTAAACAAATTTGAAGAAAACAATTACAATATAATAAAAATAATAGAGATGAATATTTTAGAAAAGGAGTATTAATATATAACTAGTTATAGAGAAAATATAGATAGCTTTTGAATTAATATAAAGAAAGATAAAAACAAAAATTCAAAAATAGATATAATAGTTAATAAAAAGTGATCTAAATATATAAAACAGACTAGAAAATATAGTAGATATCTGCTAAAGCTATATTTTTCTTTAAGTAACTAGAAATAATAGTTTTTATAGTATATATAATATTAAATAGTTAATTAAAAAGAAAAGAAGTACAAAGAACAATAATAAGAAAAATCATTTAAAAGAAGTTAAATATATATTTTATAATAATAAGTAATTTTAATTATATTATATAATCAAGTATTGATAAGAGCAACAAAACAAATAGTAACTTTAAAAAATTGCTACTATATAGTTAGATAATAAAACAGAACTTTGTTGATTCATTTAGAGAAATATATTTTAGCAAAAAAAAGCTTTTATAAAACAATAAAAAGAATTGTATAAAAATAGATAAATTTAGATTTCAAATAGTTTAAATTTTAGTCTTAAGAAAGTTATAATCAAAGAAATAATTTTAGAGACAGATAGTGATTATGAACTTATAATAGTAGAAATACTACTAAACAATCTAGATTTTAAGAATAGTTTAGTATAAATTAAAAAAAAAAGAGTTAAAAAAACAATTTACCTATATAATAAAGCAACAAAGAAAAATTAAAACAAATATAAAAACAAACTACAACACTTGCTCAAAAAAACTAAACAAAAAGTTTTAGACTAAAGAATAGTCTAAAAAAAATAGTGAAGAATCTATAAATATAATAAACTTAAACCAAGAATAAGATATTATAAGTAGCAATATTAAACAAATAGCTAAAGATAAACTTTCTCAGAAAAAAGCACTAAACTCAGATTACAATAAAGCTTCAAAAAAGATTAACATAGAATTACAAGTAGTAATAAATATGATAAGAAAACTAGTTAAGAAATACAAAAAGAAAATAAGAACTAGTAGAACAGAAAAAGAACAAAAAGAAATTAAACAAGAAGTAGAAAAAATAAATCAAAAAACAGAAACAAGTATAATGATAATAAGAAATCTATAGAGTAAACAACTATAAGAAGAATTAACTAAATAGTAGTTAATATTAAAAGACAAATTAGTAGCAGAAAATAATATTGCAAGTAGATTCAAAATAAGAGAATAAGTAAATTATTGATATAAAATAATTAAGAATAATTAAAGAAGAATAATTAATAGCTTGCTAGAAAAGCTCTTTAAAAAAATAGTGATTAATAGACTACTTATAAAAGAAAAAGAGTTAAAAAACTTTTTAACAAACTAGATAAAATATTTAAAAGAATAGCTAAATATTTTAAAAAGCAGTTCAAGAAAAAAAACTTTCTTCAGAAAAGAATTTTTAATAGCTAGAAAGAAATTTATAAACTAATAACTCAAATTAGTAAAAGCTACTATTATAAAATAGGTTTTAATATATTTCTTAATTATTATATTTTTATAATATTATATATATTTAAATTTAGTTATTATTGTTTTTTTTAATAACTTATTAGCTAAAGTTAGATTTAGATTTTACTATTAGATTCAGCTTAATTAGTTCTTTCAAATAAGCTATATTTTATATCTGTAAGATATATAGTTATTGAGTTATCTTAGGAACAATGTTAGGATAAATTACTTTTTTTACTTTTTTTACTTTTCTAAAAAGCTATATAAACCCTTCTTTTGCCTCTTTCTGTAAAATTAGTTCTAATAGCTCTTAGTTAGTACTTAATAAGTTCTGTAGTCTCTTACAATACTCAATAAAGTTTTAAGTTTTCTACTAGTTCTTAAATAAATATAATCTTTTGGCTTTAAAAATAAACTTTAACTAACGAACTACTATAGTAAAGTAATATTCCACTTTGACATCATTAGGAGTCTCTTTTCTATATATTATATTACTTGAAGTATATTAAGAAGACTACACTACTTGTAACATTTTGGTGCCTTCTAATAGAAATGTTAAAAATAATATTTATAGAACCTCTCTTTCACTAAAAGAAGCCTCTTTTTCTCTCCTTTGCTAATCTCTAAAACTAAAGAAGCCTCTCTCTCTTTTCTTTGATGATCTTCTACTTATATTATACAAATTCTAAGAAAGACCTATAGTGTTTTAGCAATGATCTATATTATATAGAAAATGAAATACAATTAAGTTGATATAATATACCTTTTATAAAAGTATATTGAAATCCAGAGAAGATTATACCTATAACTATTTGAAAATTAAAACCTTCAAGAACTTTACTATTTATATAAGCAGATATAGATAAATATTATACAGATAAACTATCAGAATTGTGGTATATCCCAAGCTCTAAAAAGAAAATTCAAAAAGAATCTTTCTTAAGAATAATTTACAATTGTATATTATATTTAACTAATATCTCTACGAATACTGAACTTAAGAAGATTAAAAATATATTATTATACTCATAAGAACCTCTTCTATAACTTTTATTATAGTATATCTTAGTATAAAAATACTTTTCTGATCTATAAAATAGCTTTGAATGATTCTATTAACATTTTCAAAATGATTTTTTTAAAGAAGCCTCCAAGAAAAAAAGAGAAACATAGTTCTAGTGATTTACAAAAATCATCATATATCACTTCTTACTAGACCAATTTTAATGTTTTAATATATATTAAAATCATAAGGACTTTGTCTACAACTTTACTTAAGACACCAAGTCAAGGTTATATAGTATGAATATACTTTTGAAATAGCTTTTGTGAAATTGATTTGCAAAATATCTTTTTCTTTACT